TAATAGTGTGAATATAATGAGAGACAATACAAGACAAATACAAAATATGAATAGTGCAAAGGAGTAATATATTTAAGGGCACCAAACAAAAGCTTTTTTTAAAAAAAAAACCGTCATTAAGTCTGGTCTCTTAGAACGTCTTCTATGTCAGTACTGCGATGTTTTGAAGAACTCAATTTAATATGAAATCTTCGGATGATTACCCAATGAAATATATTTTGGGGGGTGTAACTTTATTTAAACTTTATGACAAATGTTATGATTTCAAATTGCATAACTGCATTTATTTAACTTTCAGCTTTAGTAACTGACGTCAACCAATGGCCCATTTTTTAAATCCAGATAATTTCAAGCAAAATGATATTTTATAATAATCCCAGATGATGATTTTTTATGACTTTGCTTAAAATTAGTTCTTTTTGTGGGCTTGTTTTTTTGAAGTTAAACAAAAGAAAGAGACATATTCCTTGTCCTCAAATGGTTCATCATCTGTGGGCAAAATCTATAAATTTGAATCTCTTGGAAGATGTTCCTTCACATTTCCGCATTTATATTTTGCGTCCATTTTCATGAAAAGTGGAATTATGCCACTTGTCCTCTGAACCCTTCTTCCTTTGCTAAAATTTAGGCCAGAAAAATTTGTTTAAAAGAAGTTACGATTTTAAAAACTTGTAGAACTTTTATTTGAACTACTAACTACAACATTTTTTTCCTGATGTTCTACCTTTTAATTTCTATCAGTAGTTTTTTAATTGCAGTCCATTCTACAAATATTTTAATTTCAGTGTTAATTTTACTTTTGCGGACATACAATTTAAAATACAATGTTTGACGTAGCTCATATATTTTCAGCGTAAAATCTCGTAATTTTAGACCAAAAATCAAATTAATACACAGGTACTTAAAATAGAGTTGTTATAATTATTCCTTATTATGAAATTATTTCACTAAAAGCTGTACGTTTTCCACTGAAGGCCAACTATATGAAACCATTGCACACTGTGTATTCTAGTGAAAAAATTTCGCTAGGTATTATATGTGCAACTTTAGCGTCCAAAATTACACTTATGATTCATCTGTTACTAGAAAGCGCTGGATGCACAGCAGTTACCGTGTCTCTTCTGTGTGTAACGTTAATTAAAGTCAGCTTCTCTTAGCTAGTGTTCTACGAAGGAACCTTACTTAGAGAAAAAGCTTTCACCAGATTATGTGATCAGTTACCTAACTGAAGTTATATATAGGATCCTAAAATTTAAAAGCTTCAAAAATCTACTTAAAGTGCCACAAGGCTTCATAGCATTAGAATTTAACTTGACTTTCTGGCACTAAATGCAAATAAATTATAAGGTGTTTTCTCCTTCCTTCCAGCATGCCTTCGGGGTGTAACGGCACCGCACTCGGTGCATATTCGAAAGATCCATGATCGAGTCCCGGCTAGGCATTGCACATTTCTCGCATCTCCTGCTGCATAAAAACCTAAGGCCTCTCTCTATAAGTGGCACCCGAACTAAAAGGGGGTGGAGAATAATTCGTCACCACCAGGATTTGGCAAATCAGTCACATAATTCCCAGTTGTTCTTTAAAAGGGAGAGTATATAAGGTATTTTCTCCCTCCTTCCAGCATGTCTTCGTGATGTAACATTAGCACATTCAGCGTGTATTTAAGAGGTCCAGGTTCGAGTCCCGGGGAGGGCATTGCACATTTTTCACATCTCCTGCTTCGAAGAGAACTAATGACTCTACAAAATAAACAGTTTGTAATAATAATTTAAGGAGTTCTTAATTTTAATTTTTACTTAAATATTTGTTTTATAATAGCTAAAATGGGAAAGGAAATCGGAAAGCTGTCATAATACATAATATTTGTAAGGAAATTATACAGACTTATCCATTTCGGAAGACAAAATTATTATACTGTTATATATATTCCTAAAGATTTTTAATGCCTGTTATGAATGTTTAAAACGTTTTAAGAGAAGAGCCAAAAAGCAACTTTCCGAAGTTCAGAAATGCTAGTATTTTCCTAAAAATTCCTTACTAATTGGAGAGGAAATGTAATATTAAAATCCAGATTTCAGTCATCATTGGTAGAGGCATTTAAATTACAATATGTGGCTTTATATGAAATAAGAAAGGAAATATTCTTGCTTATGGGCTTTTTATACTTCTGAGCAATAAATTGCTCAGAACAATTAATTTGATCGCTTTGTATATAAGCTAATGCACAAGCAAAAAGTACGGTATACGTTGCAAACACGAAATCTGAGCATAACTCTATTACTTCTAAATGCGACACATTTAGGACAGCTATAATTCAATGTTCTCTTATTTCCTGGAGCAGATACCGGTAGTCTTGAATACTGGAGATAGCTACTGCAGGCCATATTTTAACAAGATATTATCTCAATGTGCAATAATTTCATAGAATTACACAATTATGTGAGCTGCGAAAGATATTTAATTTGTTACGGACCCCTTCTAAACCGGTGTTCCAACTGTAGGAAGACTAGACACTCCATTTATTATACGTTATGAGAAAGATTTTTGGTGTGTTTATTCGAGTGAAGGAGCATTGCTGTAAATCAGACTAGAGTATGTCTACGACATGGAATTAAAATGATTAATTCTTATAGTAAAAAACAACAAAAGCAAATTGTTAGATATATGCAGAAACATTATTAAAAGGCGATAAATGTTCTAGCAGCGTAGGGAAGGTTTTTAAGAATATTAAAGATGACGCTTTTGCTGTCATTGTATTTAACAGGCACGTCTGTGTTTTTTTTTGGGGGGGTCTGAGTGTAAATAGATAGACTGTATTAAAACTAGAAAAAGAAAAACCCTGAGATGCTGCTAATAATGAGAGAAAAAATTAGTAAATCGTTTCTTGTTGCACCTAATTTCTGTCATTCTAGTGCAACGCTTACTGATATCTTAAATTTCTTTCTTAACATGATGCTTATTTTAATCTAAAAATTATGAGTGAATATCTTATTTTTCTTCCTTTTCTTTTTTTTTTTATATTTTTTATTTTTATTATAATTTTTTCTTGTACTTGTTATATTCTAATCTTTTATTCTGAAGACTATTTTACTCTTTTTATTGGGTAACTGAAACAGTTGAAGCTCTTCAAACCTGGAGGAAATCCATAATTTAAATTATGCAATTAGCTTATCATATTATATTTAGCAAATTTAATCACACATTAAAATCTTTTTAATTCTTTGGAGCTAATCCCTTCAATGACCAAAAGGCAAAAGCTAGAGAAAGCAATTCTAATTAGAATTAGACTCACATCTCTGTGAGGCAAAAGACCTTCTACGTTAAAATTTCGTCTTTTTTCTCGTAGAAATATTAGTGGAATTTCTCCCTCAGAAATTTTTCCTTCCTATAGGCCCTCAGGTATTTCTCACTAAATCCTCAAGTGCTTTAACAATTAATTAATTAACTAAAATGCCTTGCAAGCAAGTTTTCTGTCTGTGAAATATATAAATTGTATGAGAATCAGGCAGTAGATTTCAAATTAAGATCATTAAAAATTACTTCTAGGTCTTAAATTTTCAAAACTTCTATTCTACACATGCTTAATTCAATCTTCCCAAAGATTAAGTGAAATATTTTATAAAAAGATTATAATGTATTTCTTCCGCATTCATAGTATGCCTTCGTAGTGTAGTGTTCAGCACGCTCAACGCGTATTCGAGAGGTCCGTGGTTCGAGTCCCGGCGAGGGCATTGCTCATTTTTCACGTCTTCCTGCTTCAAATCAACCTAATGTCTCTACAAGTTCATGGTTTTATTCGGGATTATTTAAATATATGCGAAGTTAAGTTAAAACAAATATAGTTATGCAATAAAATTATGCGCAAGCAATATGACGATTGACTATAAAGATAATTTTTAAGGTAGCAAACAACTTTAATACCGAAAACATTACCTATTGTAACACTCTGAATTTATTTCTTGCGAAGATTTGATTCGGCAAGAATTGACTTGTATCTCAAAGGTACTGCATTAACTTGCACGAAAACTAGTTTTCAAATCTCCTTTACATCATGTTACACATTTACTTCTCTAAAGGCATCGATTGTGCATGATCTACATCATTTAGAATTAGTATGTTTAACATATGAAAATAACAAAAAAGCAAGCGAATTTTCTCGAGTGCGAAATGCACCATTAAACATCCTAATAATCATCAAAACCATCCTTATTCAAATTCTTTGATTACATAACAATTTAAAATAATGTGATTGATAATTGATTAATTTTATCGCGTAAATTAGACTCACTAGATTTAAATCAGAAAGCATTCAAATTTTTTAATATATCAATATTATGGCAATATATTTTTGAAATCTGGCTTGACTAATCTTTAAAAAGAAAGTAAACTTGAGATCAACTAAGCGTTTTTCTTTGCAGAAGCCGCCAAGACAAGTGTGGTTAATAATTACTTTTAATCTCCGAATCTTAGCGATCAGCTATAGTCTTATCTCCGACTCAGTGCTGTAAGCTACCTGAAAAGTACGTTTTTGTCTAATATGTGTTTGACTCTTTCTTTAATGTATAGTTACCCCACCCCCTGAAAAAAAGTTGTTGTGCTTTTAAGCAGTTAAAAATAGTTTCTTACTTTTAGACCTATGCAAAGTTTAGAACATAAGAGCAACTTAAATCAAATTTCTTATACTCATTACGATATTTTATTTTTACTGGAGATTTCTTATGAAATATTGGTACAGACAAAATATAAAACAAAATAAAAATAAATTTTTAAAAATAGCGTATATGCAAGGAAATTTCTTGTTTTTGTCTTATTTAATTAAATATCAAATAATCTATGCATCTCTGTTTATAAAATGATAAACTGACGATAATGGCTCAAAATATGACAGCCGACTAAATGATATATATACATATATTCATATATATACATATATATAACACCGGAGAATATTTGGAACCACCTTCGTCGATTTAGAATATAAGTACTCAAATATGTCTCACTTCCGTTGTCGTCTGTAAAGTCTTGACCGGCGCTGTCCTTCTTAGGATGTTTGGACCTGATTCTGCGAGGACCTGATAAAGATAACACAGGACGGAGCCTATTAGATCAGCCAGAACGGCTTCATGTTTCTCAAGGCGAATACACATGCATATAAGCGTACCTTTTTTTGCATCGGAACGCAATACGATATATTGAAAAATAATACAAAATGTTTTTCAAGCAATCTTTTGAGGCCCTGGGGCTAATATAGCTCCCTCCAGCATTTACTTTTGCTCTAATAAATTAAATACCTGCATTTAACTTAGAATTCCTTTAGAAATTTTCATTATTAACATTTAGTTTAATAGAGCAATCAAAATATATATACTACTGCACTATCTGTATACGTACTTAATTTTCCAGTTTATCTGGTTTTCTGTCGACACTCATGTTTAAAAGCAAATAAGATAGCACATATGCATTTGCTTAGCTTTAAAAGAAAGATATTATCACTGTTATTACTAGCCAATATAAAATATATTTCCCTTTCTCGTTTCGAACATTATTACAGGGTATTTAAAAGAAAAAGAAAATAAAAAGTATTTCAGTATTCTGGTACTTCAAATATATAAATATATTTTTTAAAAAATTCTATCTTTATATATGTCTTCCGGTTTTCTAATAAATTAGTGGATATTTTACGTAATTAAACAGTAATCCAATTATCTTGTTACCTTTAAAAGGCAGTTAGGCAATATATTGTGTGCTCAGGGGCATGCAAATAGACTCAACGCAACTTACTGGCGAGGGAATTATTTTGCTGCATTCTTTTATATGAATTAGCTGTGAATTAGCGGAAGACAAGTCATTCGCAAGATAAGGCACGCTAAAAAGATAAACACATCAGGTGTGCAATCACGATCTTGATAAAGACCTTTTTTCATCGAGAGCAAATCTCGTGTTCTTAACGTATCGTGATAACCCTTAACGCTACTCCGATTCCCGCCGCGTGCATGCAATTAGCATATCATTTGAATATTAATACGAAACGAAAGACGCGGAGAATAAGCTTTTAATATTATAGGAACTTAAGTGAAAGGTGACTCAATCATCTCCTGAACCGGTTCTTGAGGATCAGACGGCGAAGAGAGACATCGGATCGAATCAAAGTCCGCATCAACGTCATTTAGGTTGAAAAACATCTCCAGCAGCTAACGCGAAAATTGATTTGCTATTTTTTTTTTCACCCATCTTATTCTGATATTTTTAAAGAATGATGTACCTTTCATATCGCAAATAAAGTTTTTTATTTTCAATTATTTGGTTGGCTGATCGATAGATTTTCCTGCGTTTTACACTGAAGTGTACCTCGTTCTTTTTCTTGAGGAATATCATGGTCAGTATGAACAATGCAATGCAATTTAAAAAACATACATATGATGTAATTGGAAATGCCTATCTAAGCATTGCAAGATTCATATGACTGACAGTATCAATGGCGTATTAATTATTATTGTTTATTATATAAGTTCTCGTCTAAGAAATTAAAGAGCAAACTAAATTCGGCTTAATCAACATAACTTCTTACTTGAAATTTCTTATCCTGTTTATATATTACAGAGAAAAAAAAAAAAGTGAAGTAACTTATCACTGGTGTTAAATGTATGCAGCACAGTATGCAAGAATAAGCTTTTAGCCTGATGAATATTAAACCATCCTAAGTTTAATCTGTTAGATAAACGTCGAAGTTGTAAGTTAAAAAAACCCCAAGCATTTCGTGCTCTCTCTTTTCTGGTATTTAATCTCTCGTTCCTGTTTTATAACCTTTTAAGTATACTTCAGCAGCTTCCTGATTTTATTTGAAAGTCCGAAATTAGTTTTTATTACATCATTAAAAATTTTCATTGATATCATGATTGCACTTAGTCTACAACGACTTTGAAAAATAAGGAATAAATAAATAAAGTAAAGTAGCTACATTTAAAGCAAAATTCCTTGTTCAAAAAGATCACATAAACATGAATAAATTAAATAGCTTGGTTCTCTCTCGTCCAAAATTAGCAGATACAGAACTCGCAATTCAATTTTTGCTTGTGACTGCTCATAAAATGTTTTCGTGAAATCAGTAAGCATGATATAAAATTTAATTTTATTTTGCCCTTAAAACGATCTACATTTTTATAAAAGGTTTTCAGGTATTTTGATAAATCTTTATAACAAACTCACAGCAGTCTACATACTTCCTAAGTTGAATTCATGTTTATATCATAGTAAATAATAGCAGCAATTCAGGCAGTTTTTACTGCGAGATGATATGAAACACTCTTACAGTAATCATAATTTAAAATCCTGGCACTAATTTTGTTCAAGAGATATGCAACAATTGACTTAAGCTGACTACACGAGATTTGACTATCACTAGAAACGTTTTCCGAATGTGTAACGTGAATACGAGCCAATTCCTCTGAGAAAGCTGTCCATGAAAATATATCAACCCTTAGCAGATACTTCCAGGCTTTGTCTTAGCTGATTAAATAAACAATCAATCATTAGATTCGAGTTTAAGAATTGGATGTAAGTTAAATCCCGATTAACTGGGATTACGAATTAATCGGATCATGTTCTTTTTTTTTTTAAATGTTAGATTTGTTTAGTGCGAAACGATGAAAGAACTTTTCTAGGGAAAATGCAGAAAGGAGAAGAAAACGCATAGGATAACACCGTTAATAGCAGATAATATCACAACATTCGAGAACTTTTTTCTCCACAACAGTCTGTACTTTAATTTTATATAATACTATATAACTGAAATATGTAAATATTATTAAGTCATCCATCAAAATAAATTGCTAAATTATAAAAATAAATTAAATGCACAGCTATAAATTTTCCGTTTCCCATTGCCTTCTATGAAAATATAAGAGTAATATAGGCGAAAACATTGCTCTTTCTTAAAATTAGCAAAGTAATAACCTTATGTTTGGAGTACATTAGGCAAGAACTTAGTCGATTTTGAGAGCAAACAGGTACTGGTCCCTCTTTATCAAAAGTGAAGAAATCTGCACAACTGGAAGGCAGCGGGCACAACGGTCGTATTTATATCCTACAGCAGTAAAGCAAACAAGAAAGTAGCGCCATCTGTCGTCAAAAATCTGCTTTCTAGTCCTGCAGAATTCTTTACTTCTGATGAAGAGGGACCTGCACTTGTTTGCCCTCGAAATCGTTTGAGTTCTTAACTAAATCTACGCCAAACACAAGATTGTTACATTGTTGCTTTGCTAACTTTATGTTTCACGTTGTCGTGTTTCTATTCTTTTCTTATTGTTCTTTCTATTTTAAATGTTTTCACTTATTTTAAAGCCCACCAGCGGCCGAGCGGTCGCTGAACACTGGTAGTTCGGTCCGAGGTTCGAGTCCTGCGAACGGGCTGGCTGCATGGGCGTTTTCATGGTTTTCCCCATGTGTAAAGTGTATACGAGTCAGTTTCCCTTAGAAAGTCCTCCACGAAGGCATCTCTCCTCTTAGGCAGAATAGGCTTTGCCATAATTAAATACACACCACCATCACTTATTTTAAATCTTGATTTATTTTACATAACGAAGTAAACTTATTCTCCAAATAAAACTGCTTAAAAATACAGGTAAATTGGGAATAATACTATTTTTTTTTTCGTTAATTATAATATGGGATATTCCTCTTTCCTCCCCCCCCCAACTGCTGTCATATTAACCATAATCTGAGTTTAACTATGGAACGTCGTCTCCGGTATTATACCTCGCTTGATATGGAGTATACTTTAATAACTTTATGACATTATAATACCTAATTTTAATACAGTTATGATGTTATACCTATACTTAGCTGTTTATCTCTCTGTTAATAAAAATAAGATTATAGCTTGGAGCATAATAGCACGTGAGCCATCCAGGCAGCAGTGAAAATAAAAAATAAAAAATAAAAATAAAAAAAAAAAAAAAAAAAGAACATGGTTGATATTTATACGTAAAATACTGAGGAATTTTTTGAAAAACTCGAATAAACTAATATGAGGGGGGGGGACTAATTTGAAAAATTCGAATTCTCTTGCAGTCAATAGCTGTAATTATTATTTTAATATGAGTATTTAAATTATAAAATAAAAACATTCTTAAACTAATTATTACTTCCTTATGTATTTACATACTTATAAAAGTTCATTGAACTGCCAAATGACTGAAAGTTAGGAATAGGTGATTTTTCTCCATTTCATAACTGAGCTAAATAAGAAGTTACTCATGACCTAAAATTTATGAATCGTATCTTAAGTAATAGCGTATTTCAGCATGTTATACTAAATCCCTAAAATGCATTAACACCACTTTATGCTTTTATACTTTTTCCCTGAAAAGTAAGGGGGGATTCTGCGTCCGGATTAGCCGTTAAGCTAAATAAGCACGTGCGTGGGATACCATAAGGAAGGGGCACTACAGTGATTTTCCTTTCCTGGGTTCTATATGAACCGCCTGGAGCAAAATTGCGAGTGGACTAGTCGTGAGATAATTCCGAAAAATAAATAGGTTACCTTAGAAAGTAAGTAAATTCATTGGCAAATATAAAGAGGAAATCAGAAGCGTAGCTGCACATGTGAAGTACATGTAGTGTGTTCCTATATCTTAGAAAAGAAAATTGGAAATTTAAATCTGAAACTTAATTTCTTCATTTCAAGTAAAAGTCAAGTTCCCAAGAACCTGAAACTTAAAAACACGTGAAATTCTGTACATATTTATTAGCTGACTAACTGTGCACTTCGCGAGATGAATCTGAAAGCTATGAAAGTGCTATAAAGGAAATGCCACCAGATGTTAAATATAAGGCAACACAGATTCACGAAAACCGGAAACAAGTACTCGATGATGAAAATACATTAGAAGGTATAGGTACATGCCAGAAATAAATCGTAAAATGGTAAAGTAGCATAGTGGTAAGGAAGGCAGTTGCCATAGCCGTGAGTTAGGTTTCGAACCCAGGAGAAGAGATTATTAGATTGTATTAAATTCACTACCGTTTAAAAGTACCTCTTTTAATATTCGAAGTAAGCCGCTCAGACGGTATA